TATTTTCATTATTTTGAATATATGGCTAGATAAAGTTGATATAGAGCAAGGTATTATACTGAAATAGTATCTCGTACCAAAAGTGTTTGAGTTCTGACAGCAGTATGTGAGTTTTCATGCAAGAAGTCCATGCAAAGAAAGAGGAAGCCTGCAGGATAGTCTCTGTATAAAGAGCTACAGGTGCTTATCTGATGTGCCCTTGGTGTGTCCAGTGCAACCCATCCAGGATGTCAGCTTTCATGTGGGCCCGACTATACTGTCTGTTCAAAGTCTGCTAAAGAAACGTGTTTCTAATGCGCCGCGTACACCTGCAGCTGACCAACTGACAGAGGAACGTGACTTGTCAAACGTACACATTTCAGAATGTGAACAAAGAAAAAAGCAAATTGAAACCATCATAGAGTGTCAATTATTCATGGGTGGCGATGCGGGACACCGTAGTGTTTGGAAGCCTGCCATTATTTGTTTGAAAGAATTTTAAAGAAAACTTTTAGAGATCATTTATTAATCATGACATGAGACTTGCATAAAGCGGGGAGTTTAGTGGGGCCCGTAACAAATTTGCCACTTTGGGGTGTTCTATTTTATTAATTATTTCTAGCTATTTGAATAATATTCAAAAGTTCCAGTCAACATCTGCTAATATTCACAGCAAAGAATGTCCCGATGGAGAGAATGTCCTTCAAGTTCAAAGACCCTATAAATATGAATGTGCTCTGGATTGCTATTTTCAGTGTATATATCCTTAAATGCAAAAAACTGAGCTTTGTACTTTTTCCTGATTGTTTTATACATCTAATCATTTTGTTACAATTTATATAGCAGAATATGTCTTCTTCTCTCAACATGAAAACTGTAAAAAGGCATAAGCAAGTTTGGCCTTTTTGCTCATTGGCTGCTGTTTTTGTTGCTTAGTTTTTGTACATCTTGAAATTTTCAAAACTTGTTAAGTAAAATACTGATAAGAATATTGGTTTGTGAAAAAAGTACAGTTTTGTAGTAACAGTGAAGTTCAGGGCTGATTGTTGGGCCATTTTTTTAGGAAAGAGAAGATGCGATAAGAAGCGTCGTATTTTACCTTTGAGATCGAAATCTGTCGTTTCTAGAGCACACCCCACAGTGATTCCCTTCAGCTTCTCCCGAGTACTGGAATTTGAGAATTGAATTGTGTGTACTGTACACGTACTGTATACTATACTGTTTTATATCCTGGAGATATTAAAGAATAAATGAGTCAAATGTGAATTTTCTAGTCATTTTAGGTTAAAAAAGGTGGTTTTTCACCCATTTCCATAGACCTAAAAACCATCTCAATTTGTATTTCAGTCTGCATTTTATGCAGCAATTCAGAAAATGAAAGGCTCAATGCTTTCGACCGCAGAAAGGGAGTGTGATTTCCATATGAAAAGCTCAACAACAGAGGCGTTCTTGTGTAGGTGACACTGGTTATCAGCGCTATCTAATGATATGCATAACTATCACATTGCTGCAGGTTCACGGAGTTCTTGCCAAAGGTTAGCTTTAAAAACAAGAAGGCAGCTGGGGACTTTAAACCCAAAAGTTTAGGTTTTTCTCAATTTGGAATTTAGCTTTTTCAAAATGCGTTTGCAAAGGGCAGTTTATTATTCTCTCCACAAGAATTATGTAAAAGGCTTATCCACGGAAACGAAGCTTTGCCAAAAGTGTTGTAGAGCTGTCAGTGTCTCTGTCAAAATTCCAGTCTTCCTACGTGTTTCGAAGGGTGGAGAGACAGGGAAAATCCACAGGAGTCGTGCCAGTGGTTGTGGAGGAAATATATCACATTATTCAAATTCAAAAGAACTGCAGAACATGCCATCTCAGCTGCGTTGGGCTAATAGAGAAGGCCTGTGTTTAAATTACCTCCCTGATGTTTGGCCAGCTATCACCCAAGTTTTATAAATCGCCCTTAATCAGACCTTTGTAATCCATCAGCACGTTTTCAGATATTGATGAACGATGCCCACTCCATTCAGGTCCACCAGGACCAATACGCATATTAACCTGTCTTTCATGTGGCAGTAAAATGGTAGCAGGGGGTTTTTTCTTCATCTTTGATTTTAGAAATATTCGGTCTCTCGCTCTCTGGTTTATTGCTTTGACCAGCCCCTCACTTCTGCATTTGCTCATGAGCCAGTGGTCCCTGCTAATTTTTTTTAATACCACAGCTTCTTCCAGCTGGCTGGTTTAAAATTTGGAACTGGGGGGATGCAAAACGTGCTGCTTCTGTTACCATCTAATCTTTGTTTGAGCTATTTGTAACTTTCCTCCTCCTGCAGTGGTGAACTCCTTGCTTACCTGTTTCTCGGTCTACGTCAATGGAAGTAACACAGCAGGATTTTGCAATTAACCTGTCACAGGCTGTATTTGATGTTTGGTTTTATGTAAGAAAAATAACTTACCAGTGTTTCCTAGTCTGTGGTTAAAATGACTTACGCTTGCACAGCAGCATAGCCTGCGACGGCTGTTTAACTGTAGGAAGCTTGTGTTCTGGTTAAAGGGAAACTGTAAAGCTATTTTTATATTTCAGGGTTAGAAAGAATTGGATTTTATTGAGAGCATTTCAAACCACAATGCAAGTAAAATGTACACGGTAACATGTAAAACCTCTGCTTTACATCCGAAAATAGACATTTCCAGCTACGCCAAGCGCCGCATTCTGCGATTCAGACACTTTCGAGTGAAACAGCCCTGTGACGCTGTAAACAAGCAGATTTTATGAATACATTTCTTTTAATCCAAGATAAATATTGGTCTCGTCTTCCAGTCAAATAATACTTACTTGTTAACTGTGCATGCAGATCGCGTTGGAACATTTCTGTGGTAAATTTTCTGTTGCACAACCTGTACTTTTTTGCTCGTATATCGCATTACATTGCTCATAACGATGACTCGTAAGCAGGAAGGGCCAGTTTCTATCGCAATTTCTGCAAACTCTCGCTCTCACCTGAGGCAGGACCAGCGATTTGTGACAACATTAGCGGCCGCGCAGTACTTCTACAAAGTAAATGGTTTTGTGCTTGATTTGGAATTTCTGAGATTTTGCAATACCTTCGCTGCATTTATTTTGTTAGCAAGATGTAATAACAGGTCTGAGAAATTGGGGCTGCGCTTCCCTTAGAAGTGCAGCATCTTTGATGCTTTTTCGTAAAGTAACTTGTGCTGATACATGGAAATAAAGTGTCAAGTTTGGACGTTGCCATAGGGTCCGGTCTTTATAGCTCACCAGCTGTCATTTGATGCAGCTCCTGATGCTCTTTTAAGAGTGAAGGGAGTCTTCAAACCTTCCCCTCTCACCAGATTAGGATTGGGATTATTTTCAGATATCCGAAACACGCTATGTGGGGGCGAAGAGTGTTGCGCATTTTTACATTTCTCCGCTGGAATAATGTGAAATTGAGCTCGTTGGAACCCAGCCAGTTCCAGATCCTGCTATACTGCAGTTTTATTTTTCCATTGCCGTGAAATGACCAAACGGTTTGTTAAGGCTCTCTTTTTTTTTTGAAGCGTTTGTAATTGCTGAAACAGTAAGAGGAAGTTTGGCAGCACGCTCCTGCATGAAATAACTGTTAGGCCAGTGCGCTCCATTTCCTCACTTGTGCTTTTGCTCAAAAACATATGCGCCGATAAAGATTGTGTCAGCTAGAGTAGTTTGCATTGACAAATTTTCTAGCCTATGGTACGTTTTTAAAAGATAAGCCTTGGTGAAAACAGCGTGGATTTGATTATTCAAAACACCTCTGCTCTCCCTTTTTCCTGTAACTTCTCCTTTCCTGCAGTAATAATCAACCAGGATATTTTGAATGCAAAGTCAAATGCAAAAGCTGTTATTTGCATTTTTTTTCTTTGTGCTAGCCCATTGCTACTAATGTGCTTGTGAATTTGATGTGATGTCATAAAACTTTGTTACTTTATAGTCTCAGATTGAAAAAAAATCTGTTTCCTGAGACCAATGTAAAATTAGACGTGTTTGTATGCAGAGGTGTCTCCTGTGAAAAAAGCAGCATTAACAAAAGACGAAGCACAACACTGAGTAGACCCAAACACCATAGCTTCTGGTGAGGTAACACTCTGTTAAATGCATGTCCTGAAGCTCTAACACATCACGAGTTAGATTAGAGAAATTGAGCTTTTCCTCGCCATTTGGAGGGGTGAGGGACTCTTTTAAGTCTCTGAGCATTTCAGTGTTTGGAAGAAAGCCTACGATTTGTTTTTGTTGCATATGCAATACTTATACTTCGCAATTTATTTAAAACACCTAATTGACATATAGTAATTTAAAAGAGAAGAATGTGGTTCACTGCACTTTTTAATATAGTGCCAGATTTAAACAGAATATTAAACAATTAAACCACATTTATGTACAGGGTAAAAGGTATATATTAGACGTCAAACTAAATGATTATTATAAGAACAAGGAGTGTAGAATCATACTTTTACATGTATATTGCCATTATCACAAGATGATAATGCAGTCCTGGCCCCAATCTAATCCCAAAGACGGGCAAATCCCACCACCACGAGCTAATGCTGGATATTCAGTCCAACCTGAACTCAAAACTAACATCTTATATAGGCAGATACTGGCTTTTGAAGGAAAACTAACATGGTGATATGTGTTGTACACTGTATTATGAACAGTGCTTGCGTTAAAGTTTCTCTCTGAGCAGCACTATGTCCTGCATAAATGATGCACAAATATGAGTCTTATCCTTATGGTGGGCTGTTAAGATGGTAAGGGGCCATATTAGCTTTTAAGACAGTGTTATAATGCTGTTTTTTCTTTGGTACACTAGTATCTTTTACCTTTAGGACCAGACTGATTTAAGATTACTTCTCCTCGCTACTGTGTTTGTTCCAGAAACAAAAATGTTCTGGGGGTGGAATGGGGGGATGGGTGCTAAATCGAAGCTGATCCTGTCTAAAGGTCTTCCAAAGGCATTCATTCAGGTTGCTACAGCAATTGTATTTTTCATTTCCAGGTTGGGAGAGTCAGTTACTTGAAACGGGATTCCTGGGTATTTTCTTGTGCCCGCTGTGGAGCCTACAGCAAGTGCCCCGTGACAGCCCACCCTCCCGTATTGTCATATGGGCCCTTCGGTGGCTTATCTTTCGCATCATGCTTGGAGCGGTGAGTAGCTGCCTCGTGGGCGTGCCGACCTGGGAAGATGTCAGATTGGGATTGGGCCGTCGGAGCTGTGAAGAGAAGCCAGACGTCAGCTGAGTACTTGAAGTTCACAGAGACCTGGTCAGCCTCGGGGCTGAGTCAGTTTTGATCCCCAAAAAGCAATCAAACTTTGTGACTAGATCAGCGAGGGGTAATAGGAGTTAAAATTTCCGATTGTATCTGTAATACGCGATGCACCGCTAAGAAAAAAGAAAGAGCACGAATGCAGATGGGAGTCAAGAAGAAAGGCGCCCATAAGGAGCTGTTGTTGGTAATTCTGTGCTAAGAATGATCCTGGTTTTTAAAATTGAAAGTTACAAAAGGGTAGTAAAGAATGTCATTAAGAATTAATTTAATGTTGATGATGAAGGAAATCGCGTGGCTTTCTGGTCATTATAAAAGTCTGCAAAATACTGTCTACCCTTAGTATTTCATGGCAGGATTGCTGTGCAATTACCTTTTTCCTCTACAGTTTCTAAAATGAAAAATGTACAGCGGAGGGGAGCTTCAATTTATGAAGTGACAAGAGAGGAAATCAGATGAGGATATTGGCCAAGTCCTCAGCGATCCTGAACTTTTACGTTTGTGTTCTCGTATGAAGTTTAAATCCTCATCCAGCTGGGGTTTCTCATCATGGAGTTGCTTCCCTGTTTTTCATAATCATGTGACCCAACTGAAACAAAGCAGCAACCTGTTTGAGACATTAACTGTAGGTGTGAAGGACTTGCAGTGAGCTGCAAGCTCAGTGTCCTTCCAAGATAGAGTTGGAACTAAGTGAGGGTGAACAGTATTAGGTATCTGTTTTTCAAGGTATTGCACAGTATTTCTTTGGATGATGTTTATTTGGTAATTCCTAAAAGTTAATTTGTGGTTGGCTTTGGTGAGAGGGGGGTTACCCTGCTATGAATTTGTAGCTTCGATCAAAGAAGCGTTGTTAATTAAATGTCAGTTCTGCTTTTCCTGAAACAAAGTGATTCACTCCGTCTTGCACCAAGGAGAAGCTATTGATTTGTTTACCTCTTGGGCATCTCGTTTATCTGTGGTGAGCAAATGCAAATGAAATACTGCACCAGCCTTGTGCACACACTGAGCTAAAAACACATGCGGACGACAACTTGAGCCAGTCGGTTTTATTTCTTGTTACTTGATTGTTAGTTGAAGCAGAGATGAAAAAAAAGTCACTTGTTACTAATTGACGGCTCCACAAAGCTGCTTTCCATATGGATTCATCCATCCCACATATGCCTTTCAAAAATATTCCCACTACTGGAGACCTAATTGGCCTAAGAGGGAGTTATTTTCTGTCGCCAGAGGGAATGTCTGCCAGGAACTTACCAGTGTCTCTGAAATCAGTAAAAGATGTTGAAATATAAAAGTTACTCATCTGTATAATACAGCTTGTGTATCATAGCCAGCAGGGAATACCCAGGGAGACTGACCTGCCTTCTCATTATAAGTTCAGTAAAGAAGATATCTTGCAGAGGGCGTCCAAGCACCTCGTTCTGAGACCCCTTCACTCTTTGCACATGTCCTTTTGACGTTCTTTTACCCAGGTGCCATCTCCTCTCCCAGACTGAACTCGTTTAGCAAGGGGTTTTTAAACTATTGATTCTTTCAGCAACTGAAGAATCTGGAGTTCTGCTAAAACTGGTTCTGCTAAAATCTGGAATTCTGGTGGTGGTGAAGGGGAGACCCCATCACCTGTACAGCGCTTTGAGTGGAGTGTCCAGAAAAGCGCTATATAAGTGTAAGCAATTATTATTATTATTATTATTATTATTATTATTAAAACGTGTTAACGCTTTGAGATCCGAATCAAGCCAGGGGAGGATATCGGCTCAGAAAATCCCCAAATAAATCCCAAAAGCGTGTCTTCAGGGAATCCCCTGAGAGATTGAATTGGGATGTGCAGGGCTTCATCGGCGACTGCCGAGCCTTTCGAGCCCTCTGAGCTTCCGAGAAACACCTTTGTTCCCGATTGTCATTTTTCCATGCACAGTAGCTGCCTGTGTGCAGTTCTCTTTGTTGGCACTTTATTTTTCATTTTACTGTTCCAAACCGAGATCGACATTTTATCATACAAAAAAAAAGTTAGACAGTTTGTCTTTTGTTGTTTTTTTATGGTTTCTATGGCTGGGACTCCAACTTTGTTCTGTTGTCAGCCAAACAGGGTTTCTACATTGCCCTCAGTGTTTTTTCCAATTTTGGCTATATGGGGCTTGGATAACATAGTGTACATTTATTAATGCAACTATAAAAACCAAAGTTTATTTCCTTAAGATTCAAAGCAATTAGAATACACGTAACAAAAAGGTATTAAGTACAGTATTTAAACACTAAGGACTAAAAACAAAAAACAAAACGGGCAACTACTGGCAGTTTGATTTGCTTAATGAAGTGTAGTGTTGTAATTTTCATATTCTCTACTGTATGTTTACTCTGTATTTTCAGTATGTGGTAAGACATTGGCTTGAGTTAGTGAAGTTATCAGATGAACAAAACATGTATTCTGTCACTTTATGCATTCTGTGTGGTGTGCATATTCAATGTGTCATTCTGTTTCAGTTTTAAAAATATAGAATAAACTGCACTGAACAGATATATTAGAAACACACACATTTGCAAGGTTTTATTCATAATTTTCTAATAAAAATCCTAATGTTACAATTTTGTGATAGAACCCTATATAGTCCCCATTGGTGTTTTTTAGCTGTTATTTTTTATTTCATATTCCGGTCCGTCAGGTGACCCTCACACTGCATTTACATGTTTCATGAATGTGATTTTGCACAGCAGATGTTAAGTAAAACAATGAATTAGATCCATAACAAATTTAAAGGTCATGGGGAGTTTGCATTTTATAGACTCTTGATTAATATGTATGGAACAAATGTTAGAATAACCTACAGCAAATGTTAGTCTTTTTTAGGTTATCACAATGATACATTATTATAACAACGGATAATCTGCCTTTACAGATTCCCTTGTTACTATTTATTTATTTTTTAATCTATGGGGAAATAGGTTGTTATGGGTCTCAGTTGGTGTATGAAGAAGATGAGTAACACAGTGATGACAGATGTCTTGGACATCTGCCCATTTTGGATAAATTGCAGAGGACGAAAGGTGTATTGTGTCAGCATGTGAGTTACGTCTTTCGGTATTATTACTTCTTCAGTGTAGTGATATAAAATAACTTATAGTGTGTGATGAAAAAGCTTTTTTTGTATTCAGATCCACAGAGAGGGAGGATCATCCAGAGATGTCTGACTGTAACAGCGCTCGTTTGGTTTTGTCTGCGGTCCAAAGCCTCAGACAGCATGCAGCGCTCTCAATAATGAAATTCCCATCTGAATATTTTTGTCTGTCACGGGGGAGGGATGAGATGTTTGGCTTTGTTCAGACCTTGCATGGTGAAAATTTCAGTCTTTGTCTTTTCTGGATTTTGGTTTCTTTTCTGAATACCTGAATCTCAAAAAAAACAGCGGAGAAAGCAAAAACAAAATAAGACAAGGGACATGCAAAGTATTTTGACATCAGCACACGGATGGAAGCTTGCGTGTTGGCATTTCATTCAGTGCGTAATCCTTCCTTGTTGGAGTCAGTCAGAGACAGATGATCAAAGGCTGGACTCTAGTGTCCCGTCTTCTGACCGTGACGGAGCACCTGTTCTGGAGTAAGGCTGGGGTAATTGCATTAATCCACAGAGAGGGCTGTTATTTGTGTTGAGTGATGCAGTGAGGCTATCCCATGGGTAACGAGGAACATACGCAAAGACAGCAGGCATTATGTTTTTAATGAAGACGGAAGACTCTTAATATCTCCCTGAGCCGATGTCTCTCACACTTCCTTTTGTTTAAATGGATTTTGGCTGCACCTCTGGTGCTTTTCCCCAGAATTTCACTTCTTCCATTTGTTCGGGTGTTTGATGGTGCTTTGAATATCTTTCTTTGTGCTGACTTCCTGTTACAGCGGCGATAGCCGGGTGGAAGGTTTCTGCACAGAGATTACCAGCAGGTGGAAAGGAAAACCTTGTTCAGAACTCCCCTCAGGTCAGCTCTTAGCGTTTTAGTTAGGTATGCGCCCTGTGATTGCAGTGCACATGGAGGTTTTTCGATACCATAAGCCTTTCATACTGTGCTTATCAAACTTCTTGTCTGATACACACCTCCCCAAGGCCAGACAGGATCTTACCAATTGTACTCAGGGAAACCAGGTGTAATTCGGAAACAATTGGTGTAACTCTTCCAACAGTTTCTCAAGACAGGTAATACCTATGGGCTGGAAAATTGCTAATGTAGTCCAAATCCAAAAGAAGGGTGACAAAAATGAAACAAGTCATTCTAAACCAAAAGTTTGGACTTTCATTGCGTATAAGGTTGTGGAAACAATTATTAGTACTAAACTAAAGAGTCACCTACATGGAAATCATATCCTGTTCAACAGAGATTTAGAAACATTCTTTGAATATGCAACAAAAATGGATATGTGCAGAACCTTTCAAAAGACTTTTGATGAAGTTCTTCATTAGATGGCTTTTCAAATTACTGGTGGGAGTCTTTCAGGAAAACCTGTTTGGACTCATTTAGAAAATGTGTGGAAACTGGCTTCTTTAATGAAATGGCTGGATGAGATGCTTGATCACATTGGCTACATACTACAGCCAAACAGATAAGAAGAAAATGCTCAAATTAGGGTGATGTATTCGGTGAATTACCACAAGCATCTGTCCTGGGACCAATGATCTTCCTAATCGGTGAGCGTACTGTGTGCGCTATGGCTGCTGTCGCATCATCCAGGTGGGGCTGCACATTGGTGATGGTGGTGGAGGGGAGTCCCCATTATATAAGTGTAAGGAATTATAATATACCCTCATCTTGCAAAAGTTTTCAGTTCCTCAATATTTGCAAGAAAGGCATGCATTATTTCTTGAAATGAAGGAAAGTTCATTGAGAAGGCTTATT